CTAAATACATACTCTCTATATCTTCTCTGTGCTACTTTGTTGGACCTCCTACGCGCTTGCTTAGCATCCGCCGGGTCGTCGTACTTTCTGTTCGCCATGAGTAGATTGCAACACACTCAGCGTAATGCGACGTTACCGCGTATGATAACCACTACCTGTCTGCACGGCAGACCAAGTGACAGATTAACATCCGTCGCCATCCTGAGCCCTACGCATAAGCAGTTTGTATCGTCATCACACTACCAGCCGCGTTGTGGAAATGTTCAAGTGTAGTGGATCTCGAGCATTAGCATAGCGGGTCTTCACATGGTCAGCATTTTGATGGACGAGAACATGCTGAGCCGTAAGCATAAGCAGTTTGCACCATTGCTACAGTTCCACGCCAGCTGCGATGTGTGGACCTTCAAGTAGAGTGGGTCTCAACGTCCCGTACGTTTGGGAGACGCTAGCGAGGTAAGCACAGACAATGGCAGTAGTTCCTGCAGGCCCCGTTAGTCACAGGAACTTCACAAAGTACCAGAGACAGTGCCTGCCGCATGCAGATGCTCTCACTGCCGGTCTGATAATATGCCGAACTTTTGCGAGGCAAGCGTCTTCCGTGCCCACCGCCGCTTAGCCAGTGCAACCACGATAGACTCGTTTACTATGCATTAATGATTGTTAATATAAGCTTTCGATTTTTTGTTTTGATGGGGCTTTAACAAACACCTGTTCAATCTTCCCCCCGTAATGGCTCTAGGAGTTGTAGTTACTGTAAACATATGAGGAGGAGGTTAAGGAAGTAGTTGGTTGATTGATAGAGTCTATCGAAGAGAGCGAATATATATCCTCAGGTTACATAATCAGTGATGAAACGCACTATCTCCACGTAGGCGTAGATGCTGACATTAACTAAATGCTCAAAATGCTCGCCTGCGATGCTGCTCTCTGCTATGGTAGTACAACAGCTATAATAATAATTTAAGCTTACGATATTAACTACCCGTTATTGCGGACTCTACGATATATATCGCGTTGTGGACGCGTCTTCCTACCTATATACGTGATGCAGCTAATCGCGTATCTGACGTTGGCGGTCGCTGCTCGCTATCTCGGAACGACTCCGAACCCTGGGGTCTGGGGTATCGCGACGTCATAACCCTAACCCCAACCTCCGAACACGAAACCCTAACACCATCAACCCCATCAGCTGCGGGGCTGCAAATTCGTGTTAACGTGCAACTTAGCGCTCTAATTAACATATCTAAATCTTAGAGCTATTGGCCTGCGGGAACCTAACTCGACCGGCTTGCGAACAATACTCGACCCAGCCCCCATGCTCAATAATACGCCGAGTCTGGTATATCTAGTCCCCAACTAAAATGAAACCCTAACTCGACTGAGGGCTGGGTCGAGTTAGCGCCCTGGGATAGAGCTATTAGCCTGCGGGAACCTAACTGGACCAGCCTGCGAAGTTTACTGGAATCAGCCTACGTGATGTCGCCTACGCAGGAAAATGTGTACATCTCAGCACCGAAATAACTGGAGTCAGCCCTGACTCCAGTTAGCACCCTGGGATAACATAGATACTAAGCGAGTCGCGCATCCAAGCGAGTCGCGCACCCCACCAACTTTCTCAACCTATTTCACTTTAACCTGCAATGGCTCCACATCGCAACACTATACTGCCTTCAACTGAGGGCGATATTCAACTTGCTATTTTGTCTCTTAATTCTAGCCAATTGCAGAGCAATCGACGTGCTGCTACAATCTTTAGCGTTCCTAAGAGCACACTGCGCGACCGACGCGCTGGAAAGCCTGCCCGACGCGATTGTGAGCCTAACTCAAAGAAGCTTACCAAGCTAGAAGAGGAGGTGATTATCAGCTATATACTTGACCTAGATCAACGTGGATTTGCGCCTACGTACGCAGCTATACGTGATATGGCTGATAAGCTACTCTCAGCGCGTGGTGGCTCTCCTGTAGGCAGAGACTGGCCGAGTAACTTTGTCAAGCGTACGGACAGCCTCAAGACGCGTTTCAATCGAGCGTACGACAGGCAGAGAGCTCTATGCGAGGATCCAGTCTTGATTAGGAGCTGGTTTGAGCTTATAGAGGAGACAAAGGCTAAGTACGGCATCTGCGATGAGGACGTCTATAACTTTGATGAGGCTGGCTTTATGATGGGCAAGATCACGACTCAGCTCGTCGTGACAGGATCAGAGAGGCGAGGCAGGCCAAAGAGTATCCAGCCAGGCAATCGTGAGTGGATGACGTTGATCGCTGCGATCAACGCTGCGATCAACGCTGCTGGCTGGTCAGTCCCGCCGTTCCTTATCTTCGCTGGCCAGTATCACCTATCTGCCTGGTATGAGGAGGATATCCCACGCGACTGGGCGATCGCAGTGAGTGACAATGGCTGGACAAACAACGAGCTAGGAGTAGAGTGGCTGAAGCACTTCAACGCTCACACGAAGACTCGCGTTGTTGGTGCACGTCGCCTGCTCGTCCTTGACGGCCACGGGAGCCACCATTCTCTTGAGTTTCAAGAGCTCTGCAAGGAGAACAACATCTATACGCTCTGTATGCCACCTCACTCATCTCACTTGCTGCAGCCTCTTGATGTTGGCTGCTTCTCGCCGTTGAAGCGCGCGTACAGTCGTGAGGTGGAGAGCCTGATCCGCCACCACATCAACCACATCACCAAGCTCGAGTTCCTGCCAGCCTTCAAGGCAGCGTTCAGTCAATCGTTCACCTCAGCCAATATCTGCTCAGCCTTTCGAGGCGCAGGCCTTGTACCTCTCCAACCAGACGCTGTGCTCTCAAAACTTGACGTGCAGCTACGTACACCTACTCCTCCTCCTCCGCCAGAGGCCCTCTGGGAGGCTCGTACGCCGAGTAACGTACGCGAGCTTGAAGCTCAATCAACGTTAATACGTGAGCGCGTTCGAAAGCATAAGAGCTCATCGCCAGCTTCGATTATTGAGGCGATTAACCAGCTTAAGAAGGGCGCTGAGGTAATAATGCTCTCAGCTGAGCTGATGCGCGATCGGATTGCTAGCCTTGAGAAGGCTAATGAGGCAGCGTCAGCGCGCAAACAGCGTAAGAAAAAGCGTATACAGAAGCGAGGAGTACTAACAAAGGGAGCTGGAGAGGATCTACTCGCTCAACATGAGGCTGACCAGCAGATTGCTCGTGAGCAGCGTCAAGGAGGAGAGCGATCGGGCGTGAGGCGCCAGGCTCTGGCGCGCTGCACGAGGTGCAGAGAGACTGGGCATAACTCATGTACGTGTAAAAAAGATACTCTAGATACTGCTTAATCTACTCTATAAAGTTCTATATATTATGTTATTACGTTGTTGAGATATATGATTATAGAGGTGCGCAAAGTTGGTGGGGTGCGCGACTCGCTTGGATGCGCGACTCGCTTAGTATCTATGTTAGGGGATTCTGCGTCGCTCATTCAGGGTTTCTCGAGGGATTCTGGGCCATAGCCTTGAATCCCGTCGCCCATTAATGATAGGGCTGATCCCAAAAAGTGCCCTGGGATAGGGGATTGATGGTCGCTCATTCAGGGTTTCTCGGGGGATTAAGGGCTATAGCCGTTAATCCTTTTGCCCATTAATGTTAGGGTTGACCCGAATTAAGCATGTATCTTAGAAACATTTGTAGTAGGAGCCGGAGGGGGTGGTGCTGGGGTAGTTGAGCCACCAGTGCAAGTGCCGAAGGCAGAGTTGCAACCGGTGCCGCAGTGACCGGCAGATGATCCGCACCATCCGTATTGCGAGCAGCAGTCGCCGAAAGTAGATCCAGCGCACGTTCCCTTGCCTGAACCGCAAGTTCCGTCAGTGGAAACGGGGGTAGTGCCGCTGCCGCCGCCGCCGCCCCCGGAAGGAGTAGGGGGAGGAGTAGAGCCTCCACCACCGGAAGTACGGTACCAGTTTGCCTCAGGCTCGCCCATGCACTCGCCCATGGTTACACCGCGGTAGCCCTTTGATTTGAGGTACTGGAGCATGTAACCTGTGAGGCTGAGAGCGGTTTGCTCATGGATGTCATGGGCAATAGCGAGGCGGGAGCCTAAGGTTGGCCCGCCGTTAGTAGAGTCGAGAATCCTCTTGAAGTTGTCCTTGGCGACTTGGATGTTGGATAGCTGGTTGTAATCATCCGTGTCCAAGTCAAAGTAGCTGATAACGTAACCCAAGTTCCTCATCACATTCTGGCAAGCCGTGTTGCACGATGAGTAGGGAGGACGCATGTACGTGGGGTACTTTCCGATGATGTTGCGGATAGCCATCTCGTTCCTGACCATCTGATCGTAGCGCTGCGCATCAGTGATGTCGCTAAGATCCTGGTGAGACCATGTGTGGGATGCCACTTGGTGGCCCTCGGCGACCATGCGCTTGATCACATTGGACCATTGCGCTGTGCTGTCGATGGCGCCCTTGCCCAGGTTGATACCGGTGACGAAAAAGGTGGCCTTGAAGCCATACGTGGCGAACTGGTCGAGGACGCGGTCGGTGTAGATGTATGGGCTGTGGTCTGATTAGTCGCGTGATATGAGCGTGAGATCATAATAGAGCTTACCCATCATCGTAGGTGATGGCGACTGTCCCAGCCTTCTTGCAAGCGTAAACACCGCTGCCTCCGTATGCAACACTACCCTTCTGAGGACGGGCATCGTTGCGTGTGCTAGCTCCAGCAGGTGTCTTGTTGGCATCGCAAGCTGGGCCAAAGTTAATCAAGCAGTCAGGGGCTGAACAATGATCCTTTGTCGTTCCGCAGTATCCCTATATCAGGTCAGCGTCCACAACAGTCAAAGATTCAAGACCGACATACTGAACCCGAGCAGCAGTATCCCTCAGCACACTTGGCGTTGCCGAAGCTGGGTCCACAACGACCGTTCTGACCACCTTGGCGGGTCTCCAACAAGCCGCCCCTGGGCTCAGCAGGGTGTCGAAGCACGCGGGCAGCGACAGGAGGTTTGAAGTCGGCTTCCAAGTCCCTGGGTAGACCGAAAACCTTAGGCGCTCCTGGAATTCCACCATGAGCAGCCACAAGGGGCGCCACCACACCAACAGCGAAGATTTCAGAGAAGCGCATCTTCCCAAACGATTATACAGTTAACAATAATACCGGATTCAAAAGTCTGAAAAGCAAAAGACAGCTGCCAAAGAAAATGAGATTTGGCAAAGCGAGAGACTGATAAAGGCCGGTGTGAGAAAGCGGCGCAATAAAATAAAACAACAGCTTGCACGCATATACTTATAAACGCCACCCCCAGCCACGCCTCTCGACGCATCGATAGAAAAAGACCAGAGAAGCATGAGCTAATATGGTAAATGGTGCTGAACCACCGGATTGCGGCAGCTGTCATGCTGTCATGCATGTCAAAGCCGTGTATGGGAAGATCCCAGCGCGATAAAGAATGGCGTTAAAGAAGCAATTCAAAAGTGGTACCGTGGCCGACGGCGCAACGCCCGGATCGCCGCAACGCCCCAGTAACGTCAGAATCAGCACCTAACAACACTGTATTTTTTCTCAACAACCACCTGTCAGAATGTGTTGAAAATTGGAGAGCTAATTCATAGGCTTAATGCGACAAAAGTTGGTTATCTGTATTTAGCTGGAACTGTAATGTTACGTCCTGTTCTGGTTGATTTAGGTGGAGGAGCCAACACCTCTTCCCTAACCTACCAACCAGAGTTCGCAACCAGTGTGGTCAATAAACCGACCGACTCAAACCGGAGGCTTTGGTCGGTCGGTTTGATTGAATAGGTAGGCTTTGTCGGTCGGTTTGAGTCGGTTTGATAGAACGTCGCCCGTCGGTTTGAGTTTGATCAGGTTTGACGACTCAACTTAAAGAAGTTAGCGGATTGCCTAAAAAGGTGACTATTTAGAGCGTCCCAAGTTTGTACTACATTAGCACCCGTACATCAAGTCTACTACGATACTAAGCCGTTCCTGAGCCAGTGTTTCTGAAGCTGGTCCGCTTCAATGGTCTCGGGTGATAGCCTGTTACGCTTGTCTGTAATAAACTTCTTCGTCTGACTAAAAACCCTCTCACACTCAGAGCTCATGCTAGGTATTGAAAACAGGTCTAACGCCATCTTATAGAGGACTGGATATTTGTGTCTGTGATTATACCACCACGCTAAAGGGTTAGGACAATCGTTGTCTTCTGGATAGAGTTCCCTCTCCGAAAAGCGGTGAGTTCGCTAGCGACTTTAGACCTTTTTCGCTGGCGAATTAGTGAATTGCCTTTCCTCTTTCTAAAAGAGCTGTAATCGTTAATTACAGGCTGTCCATCCTCACTGTCTTCGTCACGTGCTAGACCAGCCTGAGCTTGAGCTTCCACTTCGGCCTGGCGCCGATATTCGTCATATAGGCTTGATACAACCGTCTTCATGCCCTTGAACCAAGAAAGCTTTCTCATCGTACCGTTCCAGTGTTCCTCGAAATAATCGTAACCGTAGGTAGGGTGGAGAGCCAGGGCGGCGCGATACACCGGCGTCACGTCTGTCAGCTTATAATATTCCTCAAGCTTCACCCAGCCACACTCAATTCCGCGTTTGAAGTGAGACTCCGGTTCGTCGCGGCATGAAGCTGCAGCATTGTTAAATGCGATGAACATATAGTCCATCGTCTTGAGAGTCTCCTAAACAGCGCCATGGCCACCTTCTTTGCTATGTCTGTTTGCATTTCCTTCTATGGTCTTTGTGAGGATATAAAACGGTTCTAGAAAGTCGCGGAAGCGTTGCAACTCGGCCCACCCTTCAGCATCGAGGAAGTCTTTCGTTAGGTCTTGGTGCCTTGGGTCGTTTTTTGACTTTTGCTAGCGAATTTGATAGAGTTCTAAAGCGTCGCGAAGCTCGAGTGCTAATAAACTGTTAGCTTTAGAGCTAGAAGGACTGCAAGCCTAAGGTATCAACTCACCACGTTTTATCATAAGGTATACTGAATTCCAGCGCGTTTTGCCGTCAATAACAAGGTCAATAGTGAATATCACATCGTCGCTCGCAAGCTCGTCTTGAAGATCTCGAAGGACCTGTCTTGGTTGATCTGACCGACGGATATAGGTGGCAAGATTATGGAGTCTGCCGATAGCCCCTTTTTGGGCCCAGATTTCGAAGCAGGTTTCGTCGCTGGCACCTCGAAGTTCGTCCTCGAATTTGCTCACGTTTTCACCGAAGATAACTGCTCGTACAATGAGATTAATGATATGGCCGATACAACGCAAGCGTCGTTTGTTGACGTCTATAGGAAACCAGAGCGCAAGAGCCTCTAGGCATGTATCGTTGGTGCCGGCGTTGTCAAGGACAAAGTAGCCTAACTTTGAACCCAGCTCGTAGCAATCGATAACCTTTTTAATATAGGTCGCGATATTCTCGCCAGAATGCGGACCGATCACGCGTGGCAGACCGATAAGGACGTCACGTTTCAAGCCTTGCCGTCGACAAAGTGGCTCACAATGCCAACATAGTTAAACCCATTAGAAGCGGTCCATAAATCAAAGCTCAAGTGCACCGAACTTTTCGCGTTTTTGATCAGGTCGAAGATGATCTTCCAGCGCCTCTGGAACGCATCATGAATCCAAGTTGATACAGACGCGTGGGACTCGGGCAGTAACTGACTAGCGAGCTCGCCGCCGTTCAATATTAGCCACTGAAGACGCTTACTAGATGCCTGACGAAGGGTGATGTCTTCTAGAATAATCCAGTCGACGAACCGGGCTTTCCACATGGACTCATTGAAACGCGAAGGAAGCCCTGATCCAACACTAGATTGACGCGATAGAGGCGCCCTACATGTTACTGACGACGCCGCAAGTAAAAAGGGATTGACTGGCAGACTTGGAAGCTCACCGGATGGAGAGATGCGGTGCTCACGGGTTAAGTGCTTCGCTGCGTGAGTAGTGCCAGCTGCCGAATATAGAGCCGTTGAGTAACTCTTCTTCAGGTGGCAAAGCTTACAGAGCCAATATCGCGCTCCTTCGTGTTCTAGGCTAGCGCCGTGTCGGAATATCCATGATTCTTTGGCCTTAGTGTTAACCACTCGTCTGTGGCGAGGCCTTAACTTCGCGCCTTCAAGCCGCATCGAGCCATGCCAGATATTCGTCCAGTCAATGTCAAACTCGCATCGAACTTCCTTGTCGATCGATACAGACTCAGAGGGTGCCAGGGTCGTCTCGGAAGCGTCATCGACGCGAATAACCTGTGAGCAAGATAGAAGAGAAGATATGGCAGGGCTACTGGCTCTGCTAGAGGTCATATCGAAGCGACAATATTTAGCTAAATAAAGAAGTTTATAGAAATGGGGCGTACGGAGATGGACGATGCAATATACAACTACAGCATGGACGAGCAGATTAAATTTGGAGGGTTTTTCAGAAAGTTCGTTTGTTTACCTAAACTAACATAGATACTAAGCGAGTCGCGCATCCAAGCGAGTCGCGCACCCCACCAACTTTGCGCACCTCTATAATTATATAACGTGAGCGGCAAGCGAGCTGCGCAGGCAAGCGAGCTGCGCACTAAATGCAGCCATCCACCCCAACACATCAACAACTCACTACTACAACATCGTACTATGGTGTACAGTACGTTAAATTAACCCTCTACTTCTGCTGCATCTCT